TCACATACCTGCACATACTTGTTGTGGGAGTAACAAAGTGTTTCCATGTGCTTGCTCAGTTGTCTTAGTCCAATTCCTAGGAAACCAGAACACTCAGTAATATACCCCCCACCCCAAGTACTTACTGTTCTGAGAACTCAGATGTGAGGCCATAACCATACATATTTGTGTATTTATCAGCAGCTCAAGTATACTCTGCTCTGTTGGAAGTGCAGGCCAGTAGATCTCTCAACCTCTCTACCTCCCAAGCTCTTGTTCACTCACAGAGTGAAGTTATTACACAACAGAAAGAAAGCTAATATCATTCTCTCTCTCTCTCTCTCTCTCTCTCACACACACACACACACACACACACACGCTGGCATTTTATTACTAAAGAATTAAAATAATGCATTTTTTAAAAATGTCAGTGTACCCCAAGCTATCTAATGTGTGGAGTGGATAATTTGTTCCCTAGTGGGCTAGGGAACAGTACCATATTTATGTCCATGGACTACATTTTTTAAATGAAAACTTGCCAGAGACCCACAGATAATGGGTCATGGAGTGCACCTGACAATAAACCACTCCATGACCTATTATCTGTGCTTTTTTCAGATTGGGTAAAAATGTCCACTTTCTTTTATTAATATGAAGTGTCTCTAACATTTTCATAGTTGTACTAGAGTGAAGTGCAAACCAGAAAGCAAGAGTACAGGGATTTCCCCTGCTCCCACTTTGTATATTTGTTCTATATGTACACCTTAAATAATGACCTTATTACTACAGTCATCTCTGTTTTTCTATTTTAATCCAATCTTCAAACCAGACAACAAGCAATGAGATTTTTGTTTCAAAATCCAGTAAACTAATTTTTCTCATTGTCAAAAGCTATCCCTGCATCCAAAACAGTTAACACTGCTTGCTTCTCATAATTCTGTTTCAAATATTGCACAACACCTAAGACAAATCTCATACTATTCCAAAGCTGTCTATTTGGTAGTAATTCACTTTGGTTTTATGAGCTCTAGAAAAACCTTCACTTTTTTCTTCCAAAAATGAGGTAAATATAGCTATGATTCAATACCTTATTCCAGTATTAACAATATTATTGCTTCTTCCCAATTACTTGGAATCTCTGTCTCCATAAAAACGAAATGACATTTTTATAATAAATAAATCGGACATTTTTATAATAAATAGCAATTAAAGCCATTTGGTCCAGGAACTTTGCCTGTCTTTATCTTTGCAATTGCTTTTGAAATGTACAGATAAATCTGCAAATTTGTAATTTGTGGTAAGTTTTATTAATTTAATTTTCACTCTTCTTTGCTGAACTTCTTTCTTTCCTAAATAAGTCAGAAAAGTATTTATGAAATATTTAGAATATCTTCCAATTACTTATAACCTGTTCATTTTCCACATTAATCTTAAAATGTTCGTTCTCTTTTATCAATTTATATGCCAAATATTTACTGATTTGAGAGTGAATTCAAATGTTTCTGCTTAATATATGACAATTTGTTCTCCATCTCATTCGCTATCAGCTGTGATGGAACATTTTGATTTGTGTGTTTACTTCTACATTTAATGGGTATTTCTTTAAGGCCTTGTTGTCTTAAAATTTCATTCCTAATAATGCAATAATAGGTTTTTTAATATCTATTTTTGTTTCATAAAAATCACCTCATAAATGCTTTACTATCATTCCATACTGTTCTCCTCTAAGTCCATGTTATCTTCAGAAAAATCCTATAATGTCTTCCTAGTTTTGTCTATCACAGCATCATTTTGAAAAATAATTTTATTTAATCACCAATTTTAAAAAGTGTTTTCTTATTTAAAAATACAATAACAGGATTGTGATCAGAAAAATTCTTAAGGTAAAATCTTCATTTTAGAGTTCTTATTTTTTTTTCATTAATCCATCTCACTCTTGAAGTCATTTGTGCCAAATTTTATTTAACCTCTTTCATTCTTCTTTTAATTTATGTTTAAATTCTACTGTTACGCCTAATTTTAAATCAGATTCCATCTGTGCCAAATATTTTCTTATATCTTGTTCAGTCTTTGTTATTTGAGCTCTTGATGGCTGAGGTTCCTGCAAAATTTTGAGTTGATATTGTCTGATTTTGGAGGCATGTCTATTGACCCCCTTCTTGTTTCATGGACGCTCACATTTACTTTAGTTCTCCTTGTCACGGTGCCTATTTTAAAAATAATTATTTAACTTTCATAATAAATTAACTATTACAATTCAACTTATTAAATTGTCACTGATGCAGATAGAAAAAAGCAAAGAAATTAATTTGAAATTAATTATTTTGTTAATTAGAACAAAAATATATAAATTGCTGTAGGTATAATTAGTCTGTCCACTAGATGTCACCAATAAAGTACCTCTTAATCAAATCACTAGAGGTGTGCAAAAAAATGGATCTTGTCATAACTTGAATCTATTTTGTATGTTTCACACTTATGATGTGTATTCTGATGCGCCTGCATGGTGCGCGGAAAACATTAAGAAATCGAACCTTTTCATGGGTTCAATTCTTAAGTTTCAATTTCTTCAGAAGTGCCCATGGCACAGTCAAAATTCATAGGGCACCAAAGCCCTACTGAGAGGCAAGACCAAACCTGTTGGCATGACTCTCAGCCAATCAAGGCTGATGGAGGAGGGAGGGGGAGGGGCTGCAATGTTGTCTTTAAATTCCAGAGCGCGTGGCAGCAAGGGCCATTCACGCTCTGGAAAGGGATCGAGGGAGGAGGGTAGCACTTGGGGAAGGCAGGCAGAGCAGAGCAGACTAATCACAATACAGAGAAAAGCATTTTTTTTTTTCAAATCAACAGTGCAGCAGCCATGGAGCTCAGATGATCTTGGACTTATCTTCTTGGTAGTGTATGTAGTTTTACTACTTCTTCATAGATAAATTAATTGCTAGAGTAGTTGTTTTAAAATCTTAAAAATAGTTACAAAATGCTACAGTTCTTATTACTTAATAGTCACTTGCAGATTAAACTCCTCCAAACAAACATTTTGAAATTTAGTATAAATTACTTTTCAGAAGTATCTTTTACTTACAAATGTGTAGATGCAACCAGAGGTAGCATTATAGTGAGTTAAGTTTTGCCTCTGGAGTCAGAAGACTTCATAAACATTACAATAAGTGCTTTGTTTATTGTAATTCACCTCCATATCATTAATTGAAGAGGGTTATTTGTACAATGACTGCATACTTAAAATCTGAAGAAGCGAGGCTGATAACCCTGGTCCCAGTGTCTCCACGCATTGCTAAAATGTGGCTTATGAGTTGTTGCCCTCTGCAGTCTCCATGCCGGGGAGATGTACTTTGGGTCATTTTTAAAATCTAAAACTGATGAATGCTGCATGTCATATCTCCTTCACAGCTGTGAAGGAGCTCAATGCATCACCATGAACACAACCCTGAAGTCAAGGGAAACATTTCCTATTTAGATGTTCCAAAATATTTGTTGTATAAACACTCAAGTAGTGTATCAGCTCCATCATTGGTTATATCTACACAAATAGAAAAAAGAGCTTCCTGCAGGCTCTGCATCTAACTCAATTGATTGCTCCAGAAAAGATTGTGTGAAAGCTGCATCTTGGACTACAACTCCCAGAATCCCCTAGCCAGCATGGCTATACACCTGATCTAATATAGCCTCCAATAGCAAAAAGTTTCCTGTTCTCATTGGCAGCTCACGCCTCCTGTCTTTCAGGCAGGCATTCCCAGGAACCATTATCGTTAATGTTGATTAGTTTGCAATTATATTTTCCTATTAATATGAGTGGAAATCAGTATGAGATATGTTTCGAATAATGGATTTAAGGGGGGGGGGGATTTTCAGATCACACAGTGCCACCATACTGTAAAACAGACATGTGAGCAATATCTGCAAAGAATATTTTTGATGTCTATCTTAACAATCAGATATATTCCATATGTTGCAAAATGTTGGAATCTTTATTTGAATGGATGTTTCAGGATTAAGTCAAAATAACATCGTATTGTCATCACAAACCTTTTATAAAAAGGCAAAATTCTGCCCTAAATTAAGGCGTAGCAATCTCAGTGAAATAAATCATGATGAGCTGAACTGAGAACACAGTTTGTGCTCCTGTACTCAACTTTCTTCCTTCTTCTTTCAACAATAAGCTTCTAAGAAGTCAATGAAGTTGACTGATTTACAATTTCTTGTGATTTCTAAAGCAGGAAACTGGGATCCATGTGCTGCTTTCAAACTAGGAAAAGCAAACTTTTTATTGGGGCCTCATTAGGACTGAAAAACTTTAAATGTAAATTGTGAATAACTATGGAGAAAGTGGGCATCCTTGTCTGGTTCCTTGCTACAAATGTGTTGTTTCTGAATTTTGATCATAGCTGTTGAATAGTTCACTATTCCATTAAAGTGGAATCAGGGTGTGAGAAGGGCATAATTACACAACAACAACAACAACAACTGTGGTGTCTTTGTTTTTAGGCAGGTTCTGAGGTGGCATTGATTCAGAAAATTGCATTGGATAGACCACATCAACTCTCGTTTCTTAGGACTTCATCACAAGGAGCTGAAGAAAACGAGAGAAAGAAGGGGAAAGGTGGAGTTTCATGGGGTTCTGTCTTTAAAGAAGACAAAAAATGTATCCCATCCCATCACACTAAGATCACATCCTCCAGCTTCTAATTCAACCATCTGGTTAATTCCCATCACGTGGGCAGGCAATGATTCCTCCCATTTCAAGGATACCAATACAGTATATATATATATATATATAAAAACAGGCATCCTTTAAGGCAGCACTTCCTTCAAGTCCCTTCGAATTAAACAGATTTAAGTCACTTTTCCATTGGGTCATTTGAACTCAAGACCCTTCCATTGAAACAGAGTTAAACACCTTTTTTAAGGTGGCACTTTCCACAGGGTTGTTTGCACTGAGATTTCCTCCCATTGTCCCTCCAGGATTCAATTATTTATCTTTATTCAAAAAAAATCACCCCAGATCATGGAAAGTGGTTTTAAATTAACCTTTTCTCCAAGCCTCTGCATTGGCGATCTGGGGAAGTGGGCATTTCGGCTCCTCCTACACACAGCGTCACCATTTTACTTGCAAGCAGGCAACAAAAACAGGTAACAGGGATTAACATCACATGGGGAAATTGGCCATTTTGCCAATCTTCATGCAGGGAATTTAAAAATAAGTTGATTGCCAACTGGCTTAGGAATAGTTAGAAAAACCAACACTTTAGAAACAGCAAAACACCTCACTCTCACAGTTGAAGCTTGTGTTGTGTGAAGGGCACGGTGGGTTGCCATTTCTTAAATGTGTAGAAACACTGATTTTACTATGTGTGATGAAGTCATTGGATACAGTTATGGTTTTCTATGGGTGAGCAGATGACAACTGGTATATAGTGTATGTATATCAAAAACTGGAGCTGATAGGGATAACCTAGTGCCATTTTTGGAATCAGCAGGTCAAATATACCAAGAAATGGGGCTAACATTTGAGGCACCAAATGTGTCTTGGCTAGTGTTATATGCATAATAAGCAAAGTTATGGGGCACCACCCACTCCTCGCCAAATAGGCCAAATAGGACCAAAGGGTGCATCTACACTGTAGAATCAAAGTAGTTTGTTGTCACTTGAACAGCCATGGCTCAATGTTATTGAAACCTAGGAGTTGTCGTTTTATGATGTCTTTTGACTTCTCTACCTCACCAAACTACAACTCCCATGATTCCATAGCATCGAGTCATGGCAGTGAAAGTGGTGTCAAACTGCATCAATCCTACAGTGTGAATGCATCCTTGTTTGTGTATTCCTACATGGCTAGATGGCTCCTGTGGCTCCCAACTTGAAGAATCTTGAAGAATCTGTGTATCCAATATAAACCAAACTTTATTGTGATGCATTTGAGTTTTTAATTTGCCTAATCAGAAAACAAAGTGGTAAAACCCCAATTCATAAAGAGATGTTGGGTGATGTAAATCAGTGGGTTCTTTGCACATCTTACCAATTAGGATAATTTTAGTATACAAGAATCAGAAACTGTAATTGATTTCACATATGCATTAAACTGACTGAGGATTTGTATAAGGATTCTAAAATGGTTATAGAGTTATGGAAAGAAGCCATCTAGACCAGAAAACTTGTTCATTTTTAAGTTATATGTTTTTCTCTCAAACTGTTTTCCTAATTAAATCTCCAGATTTACTATGTGAATAGCAACATAAATATTTAACCTATTTGAAATGTTTTGAAGTGTAGAGTAAGAAACTCAATCCAGTCCAATATTAAATTGAAAATTACACAAACATTGGGCCCCAAACGTAGCTAAAATTCATGAATACTGTCGTTAGGAAATAGAGGTTAGACAAGTCCTGACTTCTTACAGATTCTGGGACCTGTAAGGCATCATGCTTCCTAGTTCCAGAAAATAACTCACTTAATTACTCATAACCCTTACTCACTCAGCATTCGTAATGAGAATCACGAAGTTCTCCAGATGTTGTTGGAATACAAGTCCTATCAGCTCTGACTAGAAAGCCAATGATGAAAAGAGCTGCAATCCTACAACATCTGGGAGTGGTGGTTGCTGATTTCTGTCTCTTTTCTACACACTACTTCACAGCATGGCTTAGATCCACTTCCTTCATAGCAAACAAGACTGGTTGGTTGGTTGCTAGGCCCTGGAAAATTGACTGCCCTTCCCTCTTACTTATCAGTTCATGTTACCTTTATAATAAAGTTACTTATTAAAATTTTAATAGAAAAAATGGCCAGAGGAAGAAGGGATGTGGATCACACGTGCACAATGTTCTTCAATGGAACATTATAGCTTTTGTAGCTGCATTTTGTTGAAGAAAAGTGGATGATTGGGACATACTGGAGGAAAACTACACATAATTGAGTAACAGGAGTGTCTGAGCTATAAATAGGCTGTTAATATACTTTTGCTTTTTCCTTAAGACCCCTCAGTAGATTTTTTTTCACTTTTCTTTTCAAAATTCTCAATTGAATAATATGATAAGTTGATATGGATGATCACCTCTGCATTTTATGAAAAAGTAAAGAAAGAAAGGAAAAGGAGCTCATTGATGCAGTTATATAAAATCAGCTATTGGTCTCTTTCACTGCTTTGAGAATGACCATGGTTAGAAATTGCAGAATCCCTCAGTACATACTTTTATATCCATTTAAGCATTTGTTTTCATGCTCAATTTAGGGTGCCATGAAGTGGTGAAGTGGTGAATGTTGAAGTGTGGGTCCTCATCATGACAGTCCTTGTGGAAACACAAACACGTGTATTCATTTCCAAATAGGACAGGACTTTTGTGTAGGCAATTTGCCTTGCTCATTTGGGTCTAAGCCTCTTGCAAATACTTTTGCTAACAACAGGAATAACTCCCAAAATGCACTGTTGCTGGGACAACCCATTTGAATTGTACCTAAATTCAAAAGAAACAGGGAAGCCCAAGGATGGTGGCAACGGCATACGATACCATAGTTCCTGCTTTATGGGGGAGAAACCCTCCAGGCTGTTGTCTTTATGAGCCTTGCCTCTGCTGCACCCATGTTTAACATGCAAAGCCGTACATGGCTTGGAGGTTTCTATCTCCAATAAAAGTTAAAGTTTCTTTTGAACTGGCTGAGCTTTACCTATAGAGCACTTAATGTTTTCCCAGATATACGAGCACAGACATGTCTTCAGAAATGCCTTTTTTCTGCCTTAAAAGGAATCAGATTGCAGGCAGAGGGGGATGTGGCTTTATAGGGTAAGGAGACACCCTGGATCCCAAGAGGAGTCACTTTACTGTGGCTGATGTAGTTTAAATTTTATTAGCTGTTGTCTTGCCCCCGCATGCCACAAAAGGAGTGTCCTCTGTCTTCATTGAGTTCCCTCTCGACCACCTTGAGACAACATCTGATACGAAATGTAGCTCTGTGATCCCAACACAGTGGTTTTTCTTTCTTTCTTGTGCATACTTAAAATATTTTGTGTGATGAAGAATCCAGTGAAGCTTTGAAAGCTTGCTTTTGTTTTGTCCTCTGTGGATTTTGTGTTGTCCTCTCACATGGGTCTGCCTGGAGTTTAGGTCCTCAGCAGCAGTTCTGTGTCGTCATCCCAAGAGGTTAGATTAGCAAGTTATACTGAAGGGTTGCCTTCTCCCATATAATCCACCCCTTATGACATTGAGGTCTTCTGGGAGACGCTTACTCCATCCAACCAGAACCTGATTTGCAACCATCCCCCAGAGGACCTTTTCATCAGCTGCTCCATGACTGTGGAATGACCTGCCAGAAGAGAAGAGATTCAACAGTTAAATATACTGACAACATTTAAGACACAACTTAAAAATGGTATCTTCTGGCAGGCGTACCCAGTCAAAACTGAACCATGAATTTTGGATTTACATTCTATTGCTGCTGTATGTTGATCTTTGTACCATGTGTTTTGATTGATGTGCTTTATAGTGGTGTGTTTTGTTCTATTTATTTTATATTGATGTGTTTTGACTCTGTTTGACTTGAGCCATTAGGAGAGGTGGGGTAGTAAATAAAATGTATTATTATTATTATTATTATTATTATTATTATTATTATTATTATTATTACATTATTGAGCAGGCAGTGAAGACTGCATTGTTGTGCATATTTTTTTTTAAGTTTTACTGATTGTTTTTATTATAGTAAAGGTAAAGGTTTCCCTGTGACATTAAGTCTAGTTGAGTCCAACTCCGTGGGTGGTGCTCATCTCCATTTCTAAGCTGAAGAGCTGGCGTTGTCCATAGATGCCTCCAAGGTCATGAGGCAGGCATGACTGCATGGAGGACCATTACCCTCCTGCCAAAGTGGTACCTATTGATCTACTCACATTTGTATGTTTTCGAACTGCTGGGTTGGCAGAAGCTGGGCCTAACAGCAGGAGCTCACTCTGCTCCTCAGGATTGAACTGCCAATCTTTTGGTCAGCCAGTTCAGCAGCTCAGTGGTTGAACCTGCTGCCCCACCAGGAGGCCCTTGTTTTACATGTCGTATTTTATCAGCCAGTTCAGCAGCTCAGTGGTTGAACCTGCTGCCCCACCAGGAGGCCCTTGTTTTACATGTCGTATTTTATTTTTATTTTAAAACCTGTTTGGGGTCTGTTTCCAAATAGTCCTTTGATGTGCTTTCGAATGTTGGCTGGTGGGCCTTGAGAGGCAAAGATGCACTGAAAACAAACATTTAATCTAATCAAATAATTAAAATGAAATAGTGAGACTTTTTTTTTTAAATGCAGGTTTTCTAAAAGGGATACAAACTGTTTGCTGTCCTCCCTGCCAGTGGGATGGCAAATCCACTCTGGGCTTCAGTCCAAGGTTTCAAGGAGCTGCAGGAAAGGGTCGATCCCAAAAAGGTTTCAGCACCTTGGATAGCTCATTTGACTCCCCCCCCCCCCCAACTAATGCCCAGCTGAATAAAACCCTATATTATCTGGACTCAGGGCCCTTCCACACAGCCTTATATCCCAGAATATCAAGGCGGAAAATCCCACAATATCTGTTTTAAACTGGTTTATCTTAGTCCACACTTGGATATTGTGGGATTTCCTGCCTTGATATTCTGGGATATAAGGCTATGTGGAAGGGCCTTTATTTATTTATTTATTTATAGCTTTTATATTCCACCCTTCTCACCCTGCAGGGGACTCAGGGCGGATTACAGTGTACACATATATGGCAAACATTCAATGCCAATTTTGACATGCAAACATATACAGACATAGACAGAGGCTATTTAACTTTTTCTGGCCGCCAGGGGAGTTGTCGCTTTCATCGTCCATCTGTGACACTGATGTAGTACTTCCGCATTCCCCGCATGCTTTTTGTTGGAGTGCTTGCTGGAGTCTTTTTTTTAATGGCCTCATAAATTATTTAATTTAGCCTCCCCACACTTTAAGGTGGTACCTAATTTTCCTACTTGACAGATGCAACTGTCTTTCAGGTTGCAAAGGTCGACAACAGGCTACACAATTGGTTGGAAACCCACTCCAACCTGGGCTGGCTTCGAACTCATGACCTTTTGGTCAGAGTGATCTTAATGCAGCTGACACTCAGCCAGCTGCGCCACAATCCTGGTGCCTTAAGAGAATCCAGTTCAAAGCAGATATTGTGTGTTATTCTGCCATGATATTCTGAATTATATGGCTGTGTGGAAGCGCCCTCACCGAAATGCTACCATCTTTGGAATCCACGGGTCCTTCCACACAGCCCTATATCCCAGAATATCAAGAAAATCTCACAATATCTGAGTGTGGACTCAGATAACCCAGGGCTCTTCCACACAGCCCTATATCTCAGAATATCAAGGCAGAAAGTCACACAATATTTGCTCTGAATTGGGTTATCCACAGATAATGTGGGATTTCCTGCCTTGATATTCTGGGATCTAGGGCTGTGTGGAAGGGCCCCATGTTGCTATTTCCTACCAAACAGGCTGAAGGTGTTGAGGAAGGGATGCTGCTACAGCAGCAGCAACAATGCCCAGGGTGTGCTTTCACAAAACTAATACACTTTGTTTCCTGATACTGCGTTACCAGGGGCGGGGGGAGAGGAAAATACATTTTTTTTGCTTTCCTCTCTCACACACGTAGACTCTGCTCCGCCCGCTCATATGACACCATCCCTTCCTTTTTCACGTACATGGAAACCCCAGAGTAGGGACTTCCGTTCCTCCAGTCTGAGCTGCTCCGCGTGGTTTTCCGGCGCCCACGTTTGAGAGAGAGGCCTCGGGGGGAGAGAGAGGATGCCCGGCGCCAGGGAGACCACCCTCCTCACCTGAGTGTCTCTGCCACACTTTTTGTGCCTTCCTCGGTTTCTAAGGCAACGCTCGGAGGGAGGGAGGAGCAGCAGGAAGAGCAGGAGCAGGAGCATCCGAGACCGCGGGCTGAGCGCCGTCTGTGTGGCCGAGGGAGGGAGGGAGGAGGTAAGGCCGCCTCGGAGGGAGGGAGGGCAGGGGGCCGCGCTGCGGGGAGGAGCGGGAGCCGGGCGGGGGGCGCCTGGAGGACGACCAGGAGGAGGAGGAGGAGGAGGGCTGGTGGCCACAGACTCCGTTATTTCTCGACTCCCTGCGCGGTTTCCCATCCAACTTGGAGGAAGGCGCCTCACCTGTGTCCATCCTCACTCAGGATGCTGTTTTTACTCCAACGTGGCACTCATGCATACTGTTTGTGTGGGATAAGAAGGAAGGAGGGCTTGAAAGTATTTGAAAGGAGGCTTTTCTCCAGCACTTTGAATGAAAAGGGGGAAAGAAATGTTGCTTGGTGCCCATATGTGCGACTTCTCTCTCCCCCCCCCCCCCAATTCCAGTTGGTCGCGTCCTGCTCCTTCCAAGGTCCATTCTGAAAGCCGCGGTTGGGCCGGTCCATTTTCAGCCAGGCGAGGGGGGGGGGCGAGTGGGATGGAGCGCCAGCGCCGTTTGAAAAACAGACCCGGCGCGGGACGGCAGTTCGGGTCTGTTGCCTCGGCGGCTTCCACGGGATGTGCGGCAACTGCGCAACGCGAAGGTTGTGGGGAGAAGGGGGTCAAGTGAGGCGAAAGAGGACCCGGCGTGAGTGAGTGAGGCGCCTTCTTCTTCTCGTTGCGAGAGATGGGCCGCCGCCGCCGCCGCCTCTCCTGACCCAAAGGAGCCCGGCCTCCCCCTCTTCCCCCAATGCTGCCTCTTCCACAGGTACATCACACAGGGACCCGTCCCTGAAGTCTTTTCCTCAACATGTATTGTCCAAGGCTTTCATGGCCGGAATCACTGGGTTGCTGTAAGTTTTTCGGGCTGTTTGGCCATGTTCCAGAAGCCTTTTCTCCTGACGTTTCGCCTGCATGTATGGCAGGCATCCTCAGAGGTTGTGAGGTCTGTTGGAAACTAGGAAAATTGGGTTTATATATCTGTAGAAGGTCCAGAGTGGGAGAAAGAACTCTTGTCTGTTGGAGTTCGGTGGGGTGGCCAATTGAAACATTCACACCTACCTCCAACAGACAAGAGTTCTTTCTCCCACCCTGGACCTTCCACAGATATATAAACCCCACTTGCCTAGTTTCCAACTGACCTCACAACCTCTCAGGATGCCTGCCATACATGCAGGCAAAATGTCAGAACAGAATGCTTTCTGGAACATGGCCATACAGCCTGGAAAACTTGCAGCTTTTCCTGAAATTTCTGAGCCCCAATCTACACTGCCATTTAATGCACTTTCAGGAGGCAGTTTAACTGGACTGAACTAGATTACAGGCAGTCCTCGAGTTACCAACAAGATAGGTTCTGTAGGCTTGTTCTTAAGTTGAAGTTGTTTGTAAGTCGGAACAGAGGGTTTTAAAGTGCATATATATGTGTGTGCATATGTGTTTTGTCCTGTCAGGAGCAACTTGAGAAACTGCAAGTCTCTTCTGGTGTGAGAGAATTGGCCATCTGCAAGGACGTTGCCCAGGGGATGCCTGGATGTTTTGATGTTTTATCATCCTTGTGGGAGGCTTCTCTCATGTCCCCGCAATGGGGAGTTGGAGCTGATAGAGGAAGCTCATCCACACTCCCAGGATTCGAACCTGCGACCTGTCGGTCTTCAGTCCTGCCAGCACAGGGGTGTGTGTATGTGTGTGTTTAAGGGCCCCTTGGTGGTGCAGCAGGTTAAACAATTCAGCTGCTGAATTTGCTGACTGAAAGATTGGCAATTGGAATCCAGGGAGCAGGGTGAGCTCCTGCTGTAAGCCCCAGCTCCTACCAACCTAACAGTTTGAAAACATTCAAACATGAGTAGATCAGTAGGTACTGCTTCTACGGGAAGGTAACAGCACTCCATGCAGTCATACCAGCCACATGAGCTTGGAGGTGTCTATCGACAACGCTGGCTCTTCGGTTTTGAAATGGAGATGAGCACCAACCCCCAGAGTTGAACGACTAGACTTAATGTCAAGGGGAAACTTTTACCTTTATATATATGTTTAAGGCCCCCCCTTGTGGTGCAATGGGTTAAAGTGCTGAGCTGCTGAACTTGCTGACCGAAAGCTTGGCAGTTCGAATTTGGGGAGCAGAGTGAGCTCCTGCTGTTAGGCCCAGCTTCTGCCAACCTAGCAGTCTGAAAACATGCAAATGTGAATAGATCAATAGGTACTTGCTTCTACAGGAAGGTAATGGCGCTCCATGCAGTCATGCTGGCCACATGACCTTGGAGGCATCTACAGACAACGCCAGCTCTTCAGATTAGAAATGGAGATGAGCACCACCACCACTCCCCACCACCCCAGAGTCAGACACAACTAGACTTAATGTCACAGGGAAATCTTTACCTTGACTATGTGTGTGTGTGTGTGTATATATATATATATATATATGTTTAGCTTTGGATAGCATAGGGAAGGGTTAATATCCCTGTGGTGTTTGTTTCGCTGCCCGCACTCCTGTTCAGAATTTTCGCCTTACTTTCTGTCTCAGTGAGAATTGGATTTTGAACATTTTGGCTTGTTATGGAGACTTGCATTGAGGATAAAGCTTCAGTGGAAACTCCTTTTTCCCATGAAATTTCTTCCAGGAGTGGATTTCCCTTTTTAAAGGCAGATTTCTCTCATTTTCTGATGTTTCACCCTGTTCTTAACTATGAGTTGTTTGCAACTTGGGGACTATTTATTTATCATATCAGAAGCAAACCGAGGGTACAGTTGTAATGTATCTTTTTAAAAAGACAGAAAGTTTAAAAACTTGGCATTATATTAAATGTCCTTTGACCACTTGGAGTGCCTCTAGTGTTGCTACAAGAAGGCCCTCCATTGTGCATGTGACAGGGCTCGGCCTGCATTGTAATAGGTGGTCTGTGATTTGCTCTTCTCTGCACTCGCATGTCGTGGTCCCACTTTTTAAGGTTGGCTCTGCATCTCATGGTGCCAGAACGCAGTCTGTTCAGCACCTTCCAAGTTGCCCAGTCTTCTGTGTGCCCAGGAGGGAGTCTCTCATTTAGTATCAGCCATAGGTTGAAGTTCCAGGTTTTAGCCTGCCACTTTTGGACTCTCACTTCCTGAGGTGTAGATCTTAGTCTACACTGCCATGTTCACTGCATCCTGAAAGTGGGTTCTATGGCAGTGTCGATCCATCCTAGGTGCACCTACACTAGCCTCTAATTAATGCTGTTAATTCAACAGGTACACCCCAAGCCTTTTTGAAAGACATGCCATTGAATAGAAATCAGTTTTAATACTTTCCAAATAGCATTTTGGGAGGATTTGACTATCAAAGGGCCCTTCCACACAGCCCTAGATCTCAGAATATTAAGGCAGAAAATCCCACATCATCTGAGTGTGGACTCAGATAACCCAATTCAAAGCAGATATTATGGGATTTTCTGCCTTGATATTCTGGGATATAGAGCTGTGTGGAAGGGCCCGGGAGCCCCTGGTGGGACAGTGGGTTAAATCGCTGAGCTGCTGAGCTTGTTGACCGAAAAGTCACAGGTTCGAATCCGGAGAGCAGCGTGAGCTTCCGCTGTTTGGCCCAGCTTCTGCCAACCTAGCAGTTTGATAACATCCAAATGTGAGTAGATCAATAGGTACCGCTCCTCCAGGAAGGTAACAGAGCTCCATGCAGTCTTGCTGGTCACATGACTTTGGAGGTGTCTACAGACAACACTGGTTCTTCGGCTTGGAAATGGAGATGAGCACCACCCCCAGAGTCGGACACGACTAGACTTAATGTCAGGGGACAACCTTTACCTTTACTAGAAGGGCCCTGGGTTATCTGAGTGGGATTTTCTGCCATGATATTCTGGGATATAGGGCTGTGTGAAAGGGCCCACAGCTAGAGGTCCCACAGTGCTTCCCCCTCCTCCTCAGCATGTTCTCAGTCCTTGCATGAGATGGGCGACACATGCAACAGATTGGTGTCCTGGCTGGTTAAGGGGGCATCTCCACTGCAGAAGGAACGCAGTTTGACATCACTAGAAGGGAGGAGAAGCCATGCTATGGAATCAGGTGGTTTTTTACAAGGTCTCTGCCGAAGAGTGTGAGATATATTGGAGATGGAACCCAAGTCACCACATGGAGTTCATGTTCGTTTGATAGACACGTAGCCCTGTAAGTCATTTTACTCACAGCACTTCCCCGTTGGTGGGCGATGAGCCATGACAAAGCCAAAGGCACACTGTCTCAGCCACTCAGGAGGACGCTTTTGGAGCGCTTCGAATTCTCCCTCCTTCCCTCAGTCACTCAATGTCGGGCGGGAGGGAGCGCGAGGGGAGCGCGCGCCTCTTCCGGGAATTACGGTGGCCCCGCCCCTCCCCTCCGCCGGGCCTTGGTCACGTCCTCCACGTCTGCCTGCGGAGCGGCGTCCCCGGCTGCCCCCCTTCTCTCCCCGCCCCCCCCCCCCCGCCATCCCCATCCCGCCTTGGCCCAGGGCGGGGCAGCAGAGGAGGAGGAGGAGGAAGGGAAAGGCTTGCCCGCCCGCCCGCCACGAAAGGCGCTCATTTACATTGCAAAGTGAATGCAGTCTGACACCACTTGAACTGCCCCTGGCTCAGGGACGTAGGAGCACGGGAGCTGTAGTTTCACAAGGTCTTCTGCCCTCTCTGCTCTCAAAAAAAAAAAAAAAAAAAGCTGGTGCCTCACTAAACGACAATTCTCAGTATTCCACAGCATTGAGCCACAGCAGGTTTAAGTGGTACCAAAAGAAGGCCTGGGCAAACTTGGGCCCTCCAGGTGTTTTGGACTCCCAACTCCTACAATTCCTGTTGTGGGAGTTGGGGTCCAAAACACCTGGAGGGCCCAAGTTTGCCCTGGCCTGAAAGTATAGGGTAGAAGCACACTTGCCTTGAAGTCTCCTTCTCTTCCCATTACATCTCACTTTGCCAGTCATTATCATAGCATTTAGAAATACAAACTTCTTTGGAGGGGTTCTTTGCAACTTTAATTGCCACTGAAGGTATTTAAGCAGGCGATGAAATTCCTCCTTCTGTATTATAATCAGGAGCCATCTCTAGCTTTCTCCTTTGCAGTCTTATCCATCTTTTCAAACTGATCATGTCTCCTGATAGGACCTCGGTTGAATCATTCTGGGATTTTGTTGTTGTTGTTGTGGTGGTGGTTTGAGCAGAGAATATGACTCAAAACCAGGGTTCGAATCCCTGCTTGGCTGTGGAAACCCACTGAGTGACCTTGGGCAAGTCACACCCAATCAGCCCCAGAAGAAAGCAAATCTCTAAATGAATCTCACCAAGAAGACCTGGTTACAGGGTCGCTGTCAGATGGAAACAAAATGAAGGCATGCAATCACAGCAACACCCTGGTCTGACAACTGTAGTGCTTGCTCCACTCTTCATTCATGCCAGCTCTCATGACTTCCTAACACCCATTTATCCAGCAGATTCAAAAGGATTCACATTTTAAAAGGCCTCCCGCCTGCTGTTCCTATTACTGGGCTTTTCTTTCGTGCCAGTTGTGTGTTGGTCACTAGATAGTACTGGGTTACATAACCTTTCTTGCTTTTAAATTATCGCTGTCACTGTGTTTCATTGCATAATAACATCACAGCTCCACAAAATAAAAAGGAGAGATCAGTGTGGGATAGCAGATTGAATGTCAGACTTGTGGAGGGATGTGAGTTTAAATTTCTACCAGATGGTAATGGTAATGTTCTTTGGAGTGACCTTGAGTCAGTGGCTGCCTCAGTCCCACTGGAGAGTAGTGAGACCAGGAAAGTGCTGCTGGCCAAACTCTGAGGAAGAAATGTGGAGCAAGGCAAAATAAAGAATGCCTCCCACACCACACCCCCAGCATAATAAAATATCTCTTGTCTGACTCAATGGGATTTAGAGGGTCCTATGAAGTTTCTAATTCTTCCACCTTTGTTTATTTTTTAAATTGTGTGTAGTGGCCTTATTCCAACTGTAAAGCTGTGGAATTGTCGGCCATGTTTTCCAACAGTTCACACCAATAGCCATAAAATTAGTGTTTTATGTGCTATTGATTTGATCTTTTTTGTTGTTGTTGTATTGTGTGCTTATTTTATGCATTGTTTTACGCACATTGTGCCACATGTAAGCTGCCCTGAGTCCCTTTGGGGAGATGGAGGCAGGGTACAAAAATAAAGTTGTTCTAGACTAGAGGCATTTTCTCCTGGCCATATAGCCCGAAAAAACCTACAACAACCCAGTGATTCCGGCCATGAAAGCGTTCGGCAATACAAAGTTGTTGTTGTTGTTATTGTTGTTGTTGTTGCTATTTTACTGACACAAAACACAGTATGACACAGCAAACGAGATATATATGCTGGATTTTGTATCACAAAATCACAAGTCGAACACTTTCCAAGCGTTTAGGACTGTGTGATGTATCTTCAAATGATGCGTGCAGATCCAAGTAAGGTCGCTTTTTGCAGTTGACAGAGCAGGATTTTGTCAATGTTTATTGCTTTCAAATGCCGGCTGAGATCTTTTGGCATGGCACCCAGTGTTCCGATTACCACTGGGACCTCCTGTACCAGTTTATGCCAGAGCCTTTGCAGTTTGATTCTGAGATCTTGATAAGGCTGTGTTTTTCCTGTTTTTCCTCAATTTAACTGTCACCTGGTATGGTGACATCAATAATCCAAACTTTTTTCTTTTCTACAGTCATGATGTCTGGTGCATTGTGTTCCAAAACTTTGTATTATTATTATTATTATTATTATTATTATTATTATTATTATTATTATTATTATTATTCTCAGAGGCCCCCAGCTTGGAATTCCCATTCACAGGTATTTTCCAACTATATGCTGGGAGTCAGTTCTTTTTATACTTCTTTGTGTGAAAACGGGGGAAATGTCCTGGGGAAATCCCTCTTTGGCTCTTCCTGCTTGTAAAAGACTGAAGTCAGGAGCTATTTATTTCATGACAGGCACTAGGAATCATAGAATCCTAGAATTGGAAGGGACCTTGTGGGCCATCCAGTCCAATCTCCTGTCAAGAAGCAGGGAAATTGTAGTCAAAGCACCCCCAACAGATGGCCATCCAGCCACTGTTTAAAAACTCTCTGGGGCAGAAAGTTCTACTGCAGAACAACTCTCACTGTTAAGAAGTTCTTCCTCATGTTCAGGTGAGATCTCCTTTCCTGTAGTTTGAACCCATTGTTCCGCATCCTAGTCTCCAGGGCAGCAGAAAACAAGCCTGCTCCCTCCTCCCTGTGACTTCCCCTCACATATTTATACATGGCTATCATGTCTCCACACAGCCTTCTCTTCTGCAGGCTAAACATGCCCAGCTCTTTAAGCTGCTCCTCATAGGGCTTGTTCTCCAGATCCTTGATGATTTTAGTCGCCCTCCTCTGGACACTTTCCAGCTTGTCAACATCTCCCTTCAATTGCGGTGCCCAGAATTGGACAGAGTGTGATTCCAGGTGTGGTCTGACAAAGGCAGAGTAAAGGGGTAGCATGACTTCCCTGGATCTAGACACTATACTATTTATGCAGCCCAAAATCCCATTGGCTTTTTTTGCTTCTGCATTACATTGTTGGCTCGTGTTTAACTTGTTGTCCAGGATCTTTTTCACACGTACTGCTGTTGAGCCAGGCATCCCCTGTTCTGTATCTTTGCATTTCATTTTTTTTTCCTAAGTGGAGTATCTTTCATACTGTCTGTTAACTTCTCCCTCCTACCCCAAATGGCAAGAGAGTTTTAGGTTATCTTTGCTCAACAAGAACTCAAGCCAAGGGAAATGAAGGAAACAATTCAAAATGGATGTAATACACTTTTTTGTAGTTAGTTCTATTAGGTAGTAGTTTTCAGGTCTTCTAGCCATATGCACTTTGCCTACGTTTCTCAAATTCAGGATAATACTTCTTGCCTCAGGTAGAAAGCTCATGTTGTTGTTCTTATTGGCTGTCAAGCCAACTTTGACTTATGGTGTCCCTATGCATAAGGGGCTTCCATGAACCTCAGTCATCAGCAACCCTACTCAGCAACCCTGTGGCTTCCTTGATTGAATGAATCCATCTGTGATGCAGTCTTCCTATTTTTATACTGTCTTTCATTTTCCCAGCATCATTGTCTTTTCCAGTGAGTCACATCCTCATGTCTAGAGCACAATAGCCCCAGTTAATCATCATTTTGGCTTCTGTTGAAAAATGAAAGCTCATGCTGTAATAATAAAAATGTTAATATTTAAGGTGCCACAGGCCTCTTGTTATCCTTGTTTAATGTGTGCCTTGCGCTCTGTATAGCCATTGAATAAAATAAACAACATTAACAGTAGAGTGTGGGATTGGAAGAAGATAATCAACATTTTCCATTGTTATACTCTGCGTAATACTCGGAGGCACTCCTCAATTGTTTAATCACATAGGGAGTGGACCTGCTAGGCGTTCTACTATTTTGAAAGTTTGTCACAGAGCTGCAACTCAAGAAAGCATTGCAAAATCACCAACATAATAACAGAACTGGATTCTACCAAACTCTTTCCTGCCATGGTAGACATTTATGACTATGTTCTAAAAAAAGGTCAAAAGCTAGGTACTCTCTTGACCATACCGTAACTGAAGATCTGCTGAATGTCAAAGGCCCTACATCTTTTATGTACGTAGTGAGTGCTCTAATAGCGGGGTTTCTGCCTGATTACTGTGAGGCAGAATAGCTGTGGGATAGGAACAAACAGCTGGCTGAGAGTTGGTGTATGCATGGATGGGTACAAGTTTCCATGGGAACCAAGTGACATCTTTCCTCCAATAAAATGACCATGTTTGAGAGGAAGGAAACTTCATAAAGGTCTCCTGCTAGAAGGCTGCTGTGTGGAAACCAACTGCCTTTGTTTATCTTTAGTAAAGCTACCCAGAGGTCATCTACTTAGACGCAGATTTTATTTACTGCATCAGGAGTGAACCAAACAGTTGTATTGTATTTTATTTTAAAAAGCACACAGAAAGTTTGCAAACTTGGCATTCTATTAGATGTTCTTTGACCAGTATCTCGCCTCTGGTGTTGCTATAAGAAGGTCCTCAATTATCCATGTGGCAGGGCTCGGGTTGCATTGTAGTAGGTGGTCTGTCGTTTCTCCACAATTGCATGTTATGGATTCCACTTTGTAGCCCCATTTCTTAAGGTTGGCTCTGCATCTCATGGTGCCAGAGTGCAGTCTGTTCAGTGCCTTCCAAGTCACCCAGTTTTCTCTGTGCCCAGGAGGGACTCTATCATTTGGTATCAGCCATTGATTGAGGTTCTGGGTTTGAGCCTGCCACTTTTCGACTCTCGCTTGCTGAGGTGTTCCAGAGAGTGTCTCTGTAGATCTTAGAAAACCGTTTCTTGAT